TTTTTGGTACCGGCGATCAAACTCAGGTCCTTGTGCTTGTGAGGCAGGCTTTGGAACCACTAAGCTAAATCCCTGGCCCTTGTTACATGTAAATACTGCAGCTTGTTTCTTTTTCTTTTTTTAAAAAAAGGGGATAAATTCTCCTATCCCCTTTTTCATTCTGTTGATATTACTAAACATAGCTTATGTTATGGAATATAATGCTTATATTAATTGGGGTTACTAGGTGCCTGTACATGGCATATTTTTATTCTACTTATTTCCCCTTTCCTTTTCCCTCACCCTTCTCTCTTGTTCCTTTGGACCACTTTCCTATTGCAAGAGATCCATATCCTTGTCCCCTTCTATCCATTCTTCATCATTCTTTGTGTTTGTACTTTGCCTCACTCAAATGAGAGATACTGTATGATATTTAAACTTGTGAGTCTGATTTTATTTCATTCAACATTATATTTTCCAGGTGCATTCCTTTTTCTGCAAATGCCTCAAATTTGTTGTTCTTTATAGCCCAGTAGTATTCCATTATATATAGATACTACATTTTCTTCATCTACTCATCTGTTGATGGGTATACAGGCTGCTTCCAGGATTAAGCTATTATGAATTGTGCTGATATAAACATTGATATGCAAGTATTCCCATAGTATGATGTCTTAAGCTCTTTGGGGAAGATATCTAGCAGGGGAATAGCTGGGTCATATGGAATTTTTAGTTTTAGTTCTTTGAGAAATCTCCATACTGATTTCCATAACAGTTTAAGGCATTTCCATAATGGCTATTATTCATTTACATTCTCACCAATGGGATTCTTTCTGCTGAGACCAGATCGAGGCACTGGCAGATTTGGTGTCTGGTAGGGGCCACTCTTTGTATCCAACATCGTGTCTTGTTGCTGTGTCCTCACATGGCAGAAGACAGAAGGGCAGTAGGGCTCAGGTGCTCTTTTCCATCTCTTTATGGGTCACTGATTCCATTCGTTATGACGCAATCGTCTCCAAGAAGCTCTACTTCTAAATGTGGTCACTTTGGCAACTGAGTTTCAGCGCATGAATTTTAAGAGACATCTTCAGAAAGTGGCTTTTGGCAGCTCTGAGGTCAGTGAACTCAGGTCACCTGCTTCTCCTTGGCCAACTCTTCACTCACTCAACATCCATTCAGTAAACACCTGCTCTGTGCCAGGCACCAGTCAGTTGCTAAGGGAATTACAGTGAACATTATAGAGCCTGGGCCTCACCTGGGGTCCCATTCTCACTTAGCCCTCAAGTGACAGGGCACATGACTGAGCTCTTGCCTTCTACACACTATGCAGGAGGAGTTTAAAAAATGCTAGTCCTAGCTCCTATAGGGCCATACATCTTGAGACCTTTGATCAATTTTGCCAAAACTCAAGAGCATCATTTCATTCTGAGAAAGTGATGTCTCATCTTTCATTGTGTTATTATCTTGAGTGCAAAACAGCTTCAGGAATCATTTTTGCTTGTTTCTGGATTAGGCATATTATGACCTCCTTCATGTGATGGATCTGAGCCACCACAATATTTGATTTTTCACAATTTATCTGAATCTTCTATTCTTTGTCTCAAAAATATCCCTTACTCGGAGTTCTTTATTTTCTTTTCACTTCCTTTGCCAGCACTAGCAGGTAACTTTCTTTGCTGTAACAAAGTGCTATAGACTATGCAGCCTAAATACAGAAGATTTTGATCACAGACCCAGATGTTGGGAGTCTAAGATCAAAGTGTTGGCAGTGTTGGCAGCCTCAGTCTTTGGCTTATACATAGCTGTCTTCTTCTTGTGTCTTCACATACTCTTCCTTTTGTACCTGTGTCCTAACTCCTCTTTTTTTCCCCATTTGGTTTTTTGAGACAGGGTCTTGCTATGTAGTCCAAGTGGGCCTTAAACTCACTAGTAGTCTAAGCTGGCCTTGAACTCAAACTCTCAGTGATCCTCTCCCTCAGCCTCCCAAGTGCTGGGATTACAGGCTTATGTTACCACACCTGGCTTCCTAACTCCACTTTTTAGGGAGACATCAGACTGTGAGGATTAGCACTCTTCATATGACCTCTTTGTCCTTTTGTTACCTCTTTAAAGACTGTACCTGCAGGAAGGATGGGGAAATGAGACTATTAATTAATTAAAGGGTACAAAGGGTAAATGCATGGTGACCATGATTAATAATGTATCCCATATTTCAAAATTGCTAAAATAATAGGTTTTTAATATTCTCACCACGAATATGATATATTGCTGAAGTGATGGATATGTTCATTACATTGATTGACTCTTTCTACAATTTATAGATCAAAATATCACATTGTATCCCATGAGTGTACACAACTACTATTTCTTAATTTAAATTTAAATTTATACAAGGGTGATTGGAAAATAGGACAAATATTGAAATTATTTAAACAAAAAACACATTGTTACTAATCCCTCTCAAAATACTCCTCTTCATTTGGAGCAAACTCATCCCATCATTCTTGGCTCTGGGGATCCCTGAAATGTTATCAGAAACCTCTGCAGTAGGCCTCATTTTCCTGCCCAGTGTATAACCCAAGCCTGAGGAAAAAAACGAAAAGACAGAAATAAGAGAGACAGAATACCAGGAAGCTAAGGCTGCCAATGCTACTTTAGCAAAAGGCGCTGGTCTATCCAAGCCACTGATTTTTATTAGTAATCATTTGGGGTAAAAGGAAGCTATATGCAAGGGCAGGACTATGTGAGAAAATGTGTAGTCATGTGGTTTCTATGAAAATTAATGTAAGAAAGACTAATAAAGGATAAGACAAAACGTTCTTGAATTAGGAATAGAGACATTAATGGCAAAGCAGTGTTGCTGCAATAAATTTTTTAAAAGTTTAAACAGAAATCATATTTTTTCCATCAGACCTCATAATTTTAAAAACATCCTATCTCCAAATATAGTCAAATTCTGAGGTACTGAGGTTTAGGACTTCAACATAAAGATTTAAAAAGGATACAATTCAACATAACAATTTTAGGACTGATTTTGCTCCCAATAAGTAGGCAGACTGCTACACTTCACTAGCAGGACCATGAGCAGTGACCACAGAGACAAGAACAAAGCCAGCCACGGAGCAAGGAGATAACAACTTGTAGCACTCCTCAAACTTTCATGTGTCCAGACTTGAACAGGGAGCTTGTTGAAATGCAGATTCTGATTCTCTAGGTCTGAGAGGTATCTGAGATTTTTTATTCCAACAAGTTCTTGGGAGATATTGATAATTTGGTTCATAGACCACACTTTGAATATCAGAGTTTGATCCTTCAGTGCTGAGTGACTTTCAAACTCTTGTTTGTAGGAAAATTATGTTACATTATGAATCTTTGAGATAACCTTCAAAGAGATAAAAATTCTAATTTGAAACCCGTGGCTGCCAAATTTTGCTCTCTGTCTGATTGTAGCTAGAAGTGGCCTGCAGTTTTATTAGCTCTTGTTTAGCTGAGTTGGCTGTTCTCTTTGAGCAATCCTGAGTGTTGAAGGGTGCCCTTGCTGGGGTCTTTGCTGACAAGCCTAACAAGCCATTGACTGCACTTTCCAGATGTTCTATCTCTGCTCAGATGGGTCCAACCACAGCAGGTAACAGGATTCTGCAGAGAGGGAGAGGGGACATGAGGCTGCCTCTGCAAACAATTAGGTAGCCACATCTCACTGGGGAAATGCCTCCTGACCTCTGTTGATGCTTTGCTAAGCAGCTAAGGATTTAGGACCATCAAGAGAAAGATATGAATGTATTAAAAGGTCCCTGTCCCTCCACTCAATGATGTAAGGGCCTGTCTTTCATTACTGGGTGCTCAGCTCTTATTAATGGCACATGAGCTATTCCCAGTCAGCCTTAGGAAAACATATTGAACACCAGTTGCCAAAGCACATTTTAGCTTTATTGGCTCATTTAGACCATCCCTTCTAACATGGCCCTGCATTGCATACACTACCACCAGCAGGGGTATCCTTATAGGCACTCCATGAGAGGGGCTACCATAGAGAGGGTCTTACTGAGTTGAGGGTGTTACTAATCCTCAATTGTATTTCCTAATGACCAACAGACTCACCACTCTCCTACCATCAAGGAACTGGGGTTAAGAATGTCAGGAAAATGCAGAGCAACTCATGTTGCTGAGCCCTAGTGAAGATGGGTTTTGAGGCCGAGTCACCTTGACTTTGAAATATGTTCAATAAAAGCTGAGACATTTTTACCCTTCATGTGAAGTAAATGGTTAAATGAAGTATTGCTGAGTAAAAGGAGCTATAATTTAGGCCCACGTACCTGGAAGCAATGACAGTTTTCTTGTGAAATGGGCATCATTTCTACAGCATCTATAGTTTTCTCTTTCCTTTTTTTCCAGCACCCCTGGCTACATATTTGGGAAGCGCATCATCCTGTTCCTGTTCCTTATGTCCCTTGCTGGTATATTCAACTATTACCTCATCTTCTTTTTTGGAAGTGACTTTGAAAACTACATAAAGACCATAACCACCACTATCTCCCCTCTACTTCTCATTCCCTAACTCTCTGCTGAATTCAGGGCTGGTACTCTCAGCTAATCAATATCTAGAAGTCATCATAACTCAGCCCTTTACAGGATTTAGCTCCTCTTTAGATAGCTGTAAATCTGATGACCATCTGGGCTTCACAGCTTGAGTTAGCCTTGCTTTTCTGGGAAGGAAAGAAAATTTCATATCTGCTCTGCTCCGCAAACATGGCAGTGACCCCAGATTTGTTACTCAGATCCATTCTGTATATTTCATGATTCACCATTCTGTCTGAAGATATTTTGTGACCAGATATACGTTTTCTTAAAATAAAGTTCACAAAAAGTTTGAGGATGATGACTGTTTTTTTTCAAATTACAATTGAATTAATTTGTTTTCTTCAATATGAATGAGAATAAAATACACTATTAATCCTATGGACAGAGCCTTAATAAGGAGTCTATTATTGTCAAAGCAGCTCCAAATACACCCATGGATTTTGCTTGGTATTTTTATATTCTGGCTTTGTGCCCAACAATCAACACCTCAGTTTAAAATGTATTGTAATTCCATGTGAGAGCCTAAAATAGTGCAAGGTGTCACCAAAAAGTGATTACAAATGAATAAATGAACAGATGAGTTTATGAGTTACTGGGTGGTGATGTTTAAAAAACTATGTGTATTGGTGTGGACCAGAGTGGCATGGCTGAAAGTGAGTCCCAGCTAGGACCCCACCCCAACATCAGAGGTGTGGGCACATGACCCAAAGCAACAGACCACCTAGAAAAGATCTTCACAGGCACAAAACCTTTGTCCAGAGTTCCACCACACCATCAGTAAGTATGTGCACATCCCGGGGAGCAGCTGTGTGGACCAGAGTGGCACAGCTGCAGGTGGCCCAGCTAGGGCCCCACCCCACCTGATCCCAGAGTGCCTGACCACATATGCTGAAGTTACAGTCCACCTAGAAAAGAGTTGCAAGGCTTGCAAGCTTCTTCCAGAGTCCTACCATATCATTGGCCACAGATAAGGGCCCACCCAGTAAAGAACTACACAGACACACAAACAATAGCCAGAGACTCACCCCAATACCACAGATAAGTGCCTGAAGACCCTAGACAGAAGCCTACACAGACAACAGAACTGGGATACACAGCCCCCAGACAAAGGGTTTCCCAGACAACTGCTACATAAGGGCCCCAGTGACAGGAACACCTAGGTATCACCCCAAATGTGTACAGACCCCAGCCAAAAGCCCACCCAGATGACTGGTCAGCTCAGGGATATAGAAGGCCACCATTCTAAACCAAGGAATTGGTGTACTGGGGAGAAACAGAGTAAAGGCAGCTTGGTGGCCTGCTGAGAATTGCAGACTGCTGGGTGAGTAAAAATTCCCTGAACAAAGGCACATCAGGCTGCATCTGTTGAAATGAGAAGACATGGAAATAAGTGTCAAAACCAGGCTTCCAGATCACCTAAGGCAATCCCAAAGGGAAACGAGATAGAATAATCAGATACTCAACCACCTGGACTACCTGAACTGGCAACAAAAGAGAACCTGGAAAAAAATGAAATCAGAAATCATTTCTCAGATAACAAACAGCAGAGATTGTGCCCATAGTACAAGACATGATTAATAAATAAATTAATTAATTAATCTGGAGCAGACACAGATTAAAAAAATAGAGAACCTGAGAAATATGATGGAATCCCCAAATAGAAAACAAATAGAATCCATAAAACAGATGCAAACTGATTTCCAAGAGTTTAAAAAAATCCATTGAAAGTTTACATAGCAGAACAAGCCAATGTGAGGAAAGAATTTCAAATACAGAAGATAGGATTGCAATTAGTGACCAGGAAAGAAAAGTCTCTTAAAAATAGTAAGGGACCACGAGAGACCAATCCAGGAGCTGCTAGATGATTCAAAGAAGAATAACATAAGACTGATTGGAGTTAATGAAAAAACAGGAGGGAGTGCAGGTAACATAAAAAAAATAGGGGAAAGAAACCTGACATACAGACAAGTAAGGCTTATAGGACTCCAACTAGCCATGATTAAAAAACATCTACACATAGGCATATAAAAGTTAAGATTCCAGAAACTCAACAGAAGAACAAATTCTACAAGAAGCTCAAGAAAAGAAACAAATCACATACAAAGGAAAGCCCATCAGAATCACAGCAGACTTCTCAACATGAACCCACAGGGCTAGACAAGCCTGGAGTAATGTATTTTGAGCCATAAAGGAAAACAACATCTACCCCAGATTGATGTACCCTGCAAAACCATCTTTCAAAATTGATGGAGAAATGAGATACTTTTATGACAAAGAGCACCTTAGGAACTACATCAATACTAAGCTAGCACTCCAAAAATTTTAAACAATATCTTAGGAAAAGATAATGAGGATCACAACCTCAGGAAGCCCAGCAGAATGAATCCAGCAGAAGAAACTAAGTGCAAAGGGGGAGAATCCAACAACAACAAAAAGTCATGACAAGGATAAGTCAATAAATACATCAATGTTAATGGTCCCAATTCACCAATCAAAAGAAATAGACTGGCAGAATGGGTCAAGAAGCAAGGCCCAACATTATGCTGCATACAAGAAACACACTTAATTAAAAATAAGATAAGCTGACAGACTGAAAGTTAAAGGGTGGAAAACAATACTTCATGCTATAGGAACCCACCAAAAAGCAGGAGTAGCTATCTGATTTGCAGATCAAGTGGATTTCAAACCAATGCTGATTAAGAGAGACAAAGAAGGACACTGCATCCTTGCAAAGGGAACAATCCAAGAGGAAGAGATGACAATCATAAACATATATGCATCAAACACAAGCGAGTCTAACTACATAAAGCAAATACTAACAGACATGAAAAATCATATAAGTGCTCATACAGTAGTTGTGGTAGACCTCAATATCCCACTGCCACAAATAGATCAGCCAGACAAAAATAAACAGTGAAATAATAGAACTCAATTGAACTCTTGAGCAAATGAACTTAACAAATGTTTACAGAGTGTCCCACCCCACAAAATCAGAATACACATTCTTTTTGGCTGCACACGGATTGTTCTCCAAAGTAGACCACATACTCACTCATAATAGAACATGTTTACATAAGTGTGAAAGAATTAAAGTTACCCCCTGTACATTATCAGACCATAGTATGATGAAATTGGAGATCAATAGCAAAAGAAACTTCAAGAATTTCATAAATAAACAGAAATTGAACAATGCACTTCTGAATAACCAATGAGTCATAGAGGAAATTAAAGAAGAAATCAGTTCCTAGAATTAAATGACAATGACAGTACAACATACTGGAATCTATGGGACACAATGAAAAAGCAGTCTTAGGAGGGAAATCATATCAGTGCATCCTCATATTAGGAAAATAGAATGAGCTAAATTACACAACCTGATGCTGAACCTCAAGCTTGTAGAAAAAGAAGAGCAGGACAAACCCAAAGCTTATACAAGGGAGGAAATTATAAAGATCAGGGTAGAAATTAATGCAATGGAGACTAACAACAATACAGAAAAATCAATGAAGCCAAGAGTTGGTTCTTTGAAAGAATAAACAAACTGACAAACTCTTAGCCAGCCTTATCAAAGAAAAGGAAAGAAAAGGCCCAAATTCATGCAACTAGGAATGAAAAGGCTGAAATTACAGTGGACCCAGCAGAAATCCAGAGAATCATCAACACCTACTTTGTAAACCTATATGCCAATAGGATGGAAAGTACAGAAGAAATGGACAGATTCCCAGATTTGTATGAATTACCAAAGTTGAATGAAGATGACTGAAAAATTCTAAACAACCCAATATAAATCAATGAAATTGAAAACATAATTAAAAATTTATCAACTCAGAAAAGTCTGGGTCCTGCTAGCTTCACTGCTGAATTCTACAAGACATTTAGAGAGGAACTACTGCCACTCCTTTTTAAACTCTTCAATGAAATTAAAAGGGAAGCAATATTTTCAAATTTATTCCAGGAAGCAAGCATCACCTTGATCCCCCAAACAGAGAAAGACCCAACTGAAAAAGTGAACTATAGGCCAATCTCACTAATGAACATAGATGCAAAAATCTTTAATAAGATACTCACAAATATAATGCAAGAATCAAGAAGATCATACACCCTGATGAAGTAGGATTATCCCAGGGATGTGAGGATGGTTCAACATATGCAAATTAATAAATGTAACACACTATATTAATAGAGCCAAGGACAAAAAACATATGATCCTCTCAATAGATGCAGAGAAAACATTTGACAAAATACAACACACATTTATGATAAAACCCTCCAAAAAATTGGAATAGATGCTCTTTACCTCAATCTGATAAAAGCCATCTATGAAAAACCAACAGCCAATATCATACTAAATGGTCAAAAACTGAAATCCTTCATACTAAAATCAGGAACAAGACAAGGATGTCCACTATCACCACTCCTGTTCAATACAGTTTTGGAAACATTAGCCACAGCAATTAGATAAGAGAAAGCAAAGTAATCAAGACAGGAAATGAAGAAGTCAAATTGTCATTATTTGCAGAAGATGATGCTCTATTTAGAAGACCCCAAGAACTCCATCAAAATTCTTCTAGACTTAATAACCAAATTCAGCAAAGTAGCTGGATATAAGGTCAACACACAAAAATCAATAGCTTTCCTGTACACAAAAAACAGACTCACTGAGAGAGAAGTGGGACAATTTTCACAATAGCATCCAAAATTTGAAATACCTGGGAATCCACCAAATGAAAGAAATCAAAGACCTCTACTTTGAAAACTACAGTACTCTGAAAAAAGAGATTGAAGAGGATATCAGAAAATGGAAAGACATCCTTGCTCCTGGGTAGGAAGAATCAACATAGTGAAATCGGCCGTACTTCCAAAACTAGCTATACAGATTCAATGCAATCCCAATTGAAATCCCAGCAGCATACTTCACAAACCTTGAGAAAACAATGCAAAAATTCACTTGGAACTAGAATATACCTAGAATAACAAAAGAAATTCTAGGCAATAAAGACAAGGTAGGGGGCATCATAATCCCCAAGTTGAAACTACTCTGCAAAGCTACAATGATTAAAACAACATGGTACTGGCAAAGAAACAGACCTGAGCACCAGTGAAACAGATTAGAAGATGCAGAAACAAGCCCAGACACACTCAGCCACTTTATCTTCAATAAAGGAACCAAACACCTTCGCTGGGGGAAAGCTAACCTCTTTAATAAGTGGTGCTGGAAAAACTGGGTTTCAACTTGCCAAAGATTAAAACTAGATCTGTATCTCTCACCATG